CATTCCATAAGTCAACAGATAAGCCTCTCGACAACACAACATGACAACTTGTAATAGGACCGGTAAAACAACTCACAAGGGTGAAGATGCTCATAAAATAGCCTATAACATTTGAAGGAGAAGGGGATGGGAAAATTATTACACGACGATATGGAACAATTTAAAACTTTTACAAATACTCTTTAGCGACGAAGTCATAGAATGAAATCAATGTGTCAAAAACATGTAAAACAAACAAAGAACATAGATAACTGTTAGAAAGGTAAAACAAATATCGAATATTAGCTTGAAGCTTGAAACACGTAATCTACACAGCTTTCTCGCATCATGAAAGTATGAGCAAGCGAGAGAACGGCTGAGATCTTACCAGATTATTTCGCTGATACATTGCTGATTTCTAAAATCTTGAGTATGGATTTGGCTTGCCATCGCACAAGAGGAGCTTGACATGCTATCAAGACGCGATGGATTATTAGAAACGGGGTATTCGTACATGGTTGTGGGGTCGTAAATGCTCTGAGTGCTCTGCGTATAAGAGATGAGAGGATGCACTGATGACGAGCAACACGATGATACTGTTGGAGCAGGAGGGGGAGGAGGAGGAAGCAACGGATACGATGGCAGCACCTGATTTGACAGCGGCTTCTGGGGAGGCTCGGCAGGCAGTGAAGGCGATACGGAAGCAGGTACGGCAGGAGCTGGCGTTGACTGCACAAAGCAAGATGACTGAACTTGCGACTGCTCTTCTCGCGCCATAGCTTCCCATCGTTCTGCTGCCCTAAATGACAGTAAATTGAATCAGATTGCAAATGACAGATGATGTCGGCTACTCACTCGATAACGCAGGGCGGAGGAGACGGTTGGCGAAAATGCATTATGAGGTGCTGGATTTCCTGCAAAAGATTCATTCATGTGCTGTATGACTCATACTTCCTAGTGAGAGTAAAGTAGTCGCTGCTTTCTCAGATTGTATTAGGATTAGTAGATCAATCGTACCGTCCATTCCAATAACATCGAAAAAACTTTCGAAATTGGAGTA